GTTGTTCAGCATGGGGGTGAGTAGAAAATGAAGTCTAATCATGTTTTGGGTGTACTATTCCTTTAAGTGCTGCCTAAACATCTAATTTTGCCTCCATACCCCCAGAAAGGCAGCTTTAGTTTGCATGGAAACGGCTTCAGATGGGAAGAAGGTTTCCTGTTGGTTTCTGGTTGTTTCCTCCCTAATGTGAGCATTAAGTTCACCTCAAACAGGAGCCGATCCATTGACCAACATCATTGCTGATACTTGTCCTGAAGATAAATCATTTTTATCATTCATAGTTAAAAAATGTATTCATTGATTTTTTTTGAAGAGTTTACAGAATCGCAATTCATGGAACTCTCAGCATAAAGGAAAAATATCGAAAGCTAGTTGTGCTGGATAGGCGGTGTGAGCATTTAGACTTTTTACCTCCAGTGTTTATGTCTTATCTACTCCACTGAGAAGAAATATTATAAGTCACAGCAATATTATATGTTAAGTCACAGTAGGTCAGAACTTTTTTTCCATTTCTGTCTGTGTTTCTCTGTCCCACTGTGATTGTTATTGATTTAGCTACTGGACCAAAGTGAGCCGTAAACACTGCATGGATCAAAATCAAGTGGATCCAAGAGCACAGGAATTTTTCCCAAAGCTGAAGATATTTCATAACATCATATTTTATAACATCAGCAATATACTCAGCTGGGATTTGAACCTTAAGCAGTGAATACATTGGACACCTAACAGTGGGTAAGCTCAGCATAGCAGCATGTGCATGCTACGCGTGTCACAGCTTTTCATTTTAGAAAGTAAAATTATTTACACCGGGTGCTTAATGTGCTCCTTCCACGCTCATATTATGCGCTTAGATATGCAATTCTCCTCCTAATTTAGGATGAGTTTCTAATTTTAGAAGGTGTAATGCTCCAGCTCAGTCTAGGAAGAAACAGAAAAACAAAATCCCATTTCATAATTCACTTCAGGTCAGAGTGCGTTTTCTACTTGGTGCTTTTTCTTCAAGATAACACTCAACGCCTACAGTTATTAATGACCAACCAACAGGTGCTGGGAGATGTGACATGCTAACAAAATACATTTGATTTCACATCAGATTGATTTTTAGGTGATCATATGTTACTTATAAGTTCATAACTTTCTCACATAGTACTGTGTCATTCACTTACTAATGTCACATAAGCTTGTCTTTGCTCAGAGTCCTTTTGCTAAACCTGTTGTTGATCGTTCTCTTCAACGTCTGATGTAAACTTCTGTTCAAACATACGCGCGTATGTCTCTTTGATGAGCTTACATACTGTTATGCGTCCAATGTATTTAATCCTTTAATTTGTAAAAATAGAATAAAGAAAATAAATCTGCTATTAGGGTTGTCACAAGTATCGATACTCAAAAAAGTATTGATACTGAAACGTTGTATCCGGATACGATGCTCAAAAATAATCAAAAGTATCGATACAGCCATCTAAAGTGCAGAATAGTGGAAAATGCACTTTCTGAACACTGTGTGATTGAATAATTCTGTGCATTTTTCAATTTTCAGACTTCTTTTTGTAACAGGTGCAGCTGCTGAGAATTATTTTTGTTTAACTGGTTTGGTCAGTGTGATTGTTATGTCTGCAAAGCATAGCCAAGAAGGAACACCTAATTTTAATTTTGTAAGTTTTTTATCAAGCTTGCTTAATATTGTGCACAACCTCAAAATATTATTCTTATTTTTTTTAATTTATTTCTTGTATTTTTTTAGTAATGAAAATATTTATGTTGAATTCTAGAGTCTTTGTTTTTATCCTTGTGGTATCGAAAAGGGTATCGAGTATCGAATATTTTACTTAGTATCGGTATCGAGTTGAAAAGTTTAGTTTCTCGACAACACTATCTGCTATAACCATTTTTATAACGATTAATGCCTATTCCCTAGTAGAACACCATGATGTTTACACAACTCAATGCATGGTAATAGTGCATTGGTGCACATGTCAGTATCTATAGTGTTTGATGGGAGGATGTCCTACCCAGTAACATTCAGTGTACCCATGCTTTATTCCATGTGTTAAAGGAATAGTACACCCAAAACATGATTAGCCTTCATTTTCTACTCACCCCCATGCTGAACTAACCTGACAACAGCCAGATGCATGTCTCGCTCCGCCCAGCTCCACTCACATACATCTGGGAACCCGCTCATTGAAAGTGATTTCCCCAACCGAATTTATGGTCTGTCCAATCAGGACGCAGG